CACATGATTGAACGAAATATAATTGTTTCAGAAATTCTAAATTGATACCGATGTTTTATTGGTCAAAAAACGTACGAACATAAAATAAGATGACAGCATAATGTGAAAAAAAATTGGACAGAACAATGCTTATATTTACAAACATCAACTCTGGTTAGAGGGTTTAGATGTGCAGAAGTAAAAAAAAAAAAATAACAAACTTTTGCGAATGTGCTAATAAAGCTTATCAGTTCTGATTCCAAATCTGGCAAGTCTCTCAAATTCGTTGTACAAATTTCTTCTAGCTTTTCTTGTGTAAAAGCCGATCGCGTAAACTTATCCTCAATGTCAAAAAAATGAAAGAATGCACCAGGCTGATAAATCAATGTTAATGTGCTATGCATTAAAAATCACATATAAATGGCACTTACTGATGGAAATTGCAGTGCTTTCCCAGTTTATACATCACATCTTCCTTAGCCTCCATTTTTTCTCTGTGATCATCGATTTGTATCTGTACATATAAATAGTTGGATGTTAAAGGTCTCAAGCAAAATGTAATAATTACCCGTCTTGATTTTAGGAGGACATAATTAATAGGATGAATATCATACTGTTTCGAAAATCGGGCGCGATCCAATGCTGTGAATTCCGAACGTCCATTAGACTCCTCATTGGCCTATAGATTATACAAATATTAATACTAAGACAGTAGCAACAAAACACGAGTTCATCATCAACAACATCATCATTTTCGAAGTCATTGACAGGAGTGTCCGGTATATCCTCTTCTTCTGATTCTGTTTTGCTTGCATTGGCAACGAAATCGTCATTATCCCACACTTTAGTACTTTCTTTATGTTTCACTCGAGTCCGTGTATACTGAAAAACGATGATGAAAGATTAGAGAGTTTAGCTGCAAGGAAGGTGAAAAATATTTAACTACATTCTCTTCCTCAACTTCACTTTCGACGATGTCATCACACGCTCTCTCATCGTTATCGATACAAAAACGGGTTGTCCAAAATGTCCGCATTTGTTTCTCGAGATCCACTTAAGCGTTAATCACAAATATAAGAAATGACTTTTGAGGACAATACCACTTACACATATCTTCTTTTTCGGGCAGAATTCGCTTCAATTTCTAAAACACAGAAGTGTCTGTATAAGTTTATTTCTAGCGTTTTCAAAGCTGCTTTATCTTACCTTTCGAATTCTGGTGTCTAAATCTTGTAAAGCAGTATCAGAGTAGTCCTCCGA